TAACCTTTGTCCTCCTTTACATTACACATGATGTTGCAACATTCTCCCTAGTGGTCTTCCAACTTCTCTCTTCTCCAACTCGTCTTCCTCTTTGGTAAAAGATTTCTTTTTCTAGCCTCTATGTTCCCACTTTCTACATTATAAAGTCCAAACTCCTCTGCAAGGCATGGGGAGGGGGACCTTCTAAATCCAGCCCATCTTCTTTTCCCTAATTCATTTCCCCTCATCCTCCTCCCATCCATCTCAACTCAAACAGCTGACCACTGTAGTTCTCTCTCAAGACACTGAGATGCCCATCAGCTATGGTCTATCTAATGAACCCCTCTCATTGGTGGTGGGCATGGGATAATGTGTTCAAACTGTCTGGCAATAAATTCTGCCTCTCTCACTTATTCCTCAGGTAATCCTAGACATTCACCTCCTGATGTCTTGATTCATCAACTATAGAGGAGCACTAGAGACAGTCTTCATGGCATAGATAGTTGTGGAGATGAAAGGAGATAAATATCCATAAATCATCCCTGTATTTCTGATTCATTGGCCTTTTGGGCCTAACATTTTTCAAAAAGCTCAAATCCAGAGAGTTCACATTATTGGTTACATACTTCTTCCTGTACATATTGCCTGACCAGAGTATTAGCTGATAAACTTGGCTATCCCTTAGGCTGTATTTTATAAGGTACTTAGTGGTCTCCTTGACCTCTACTCACTAGATATCTATAGTACCTCTGCTGAGTGGCAACCAAAGACGTGTCTACATACGGTCAAATGTTACCACAAAGGCAACCTCCATATCTCCCTTGTGAACTGCTGCTTTAAGCCTAGGGATACAGCTCAGTGTTGGAGCATCTGTCTGCCATGTGCAAGACCCTAGGCTCAATCTAGTAATTCCAGTACTGCCCCATAAATGAACTACTGCTTGAAGTTCCAAGCGAGAAAAGCAGCCACACCCATCACTAGCTTCTACAGAGTGCTCATCACACCACAGTCTAAACCCTTTCTAGCACTCAAGGGCAGAAGATTTTCTATTTTGTTCTCAATGAAAAATGGAGTACAGGGAGTCTAGCAACTTATTCAAACTGTGTCTTGGTCTCATCCTATCTAACTTCAGTACCTAACTCATAATTTGTTTGCAGAGGAGTTCTGTAGCAATACCAAGAATGAGCTCATAAATGGATACATGAGTTGATGGAGTGATGAATGAGACCATCTCCTCCATAAGCGCTATTGTTTTCTGCATCTCAGGGACAGTGAACTATCAGTCTCCCAAGGGTTCCATTGAACCAAGGTTTCATTTATCAGAAAATCCATCACCAGCTTTGGTTTTTCTAAGATATCTGGGCATTTTGTCAGAATTATGCTGTTCTGAATACTCTATATTTGTTCTCAGTGGTGCAAAGTAAATGCCTAGCTTTGCTTCAAGCCAGTTTCATGCAATCTGTCCAGGAAATCCAATTTTCTATCCATTGGTCACTCCTTCCCGACTGTGGTGAGATGCAATAATATTATTTTTCAAATAATATTATTTTCCAACTCACAGAAAATCATTCTAAAGGAAAACTGCTTTTAAATACTACAAACCACTTTTAAATAGCTCTCTATCCTGCTGGACTGGACTCCGCTGTGCGGAGACAAAGCGGGCAGCTACTGCGCTGTTCCACATGCGTGGAAGCTTGCATACATATGAAGTAGCATGACTCAAAGGAAAAACACAATCACCTCACTGGCACATATTTAAAACTACTTCACATGTATTGTGATAAAGACTGTAGATAGACATAAGAATAAACCCTTAAGTGATAGTAGGCAGAGATCAGAAAATACCCCAGATCTAAGACTGATTCCCAGTGAGTATGGAGAGAAGAAACAGAAAATACTTCTGTTAGATGCAAGGCATTCTGGTCTTTTTTTACTTCCTCAATGATGGAAAATTTGACTGCAGGCAAGTATTTGAGCAAGAGACTCAAGTTCATCATAGAGCACTCTTAAAGGCTTTCCAGTCATCCACCAAGCCTTCAGTTCTTAAGCCTTTGGGGGCCCAAAACAGGGCAAACACCGTTGGGAAGATTGAATGACATACGTAAAATGTCCACTTCCTAACAGGTGTCTACCATGCTTTGTCAATGGTTATTACATTATCTTAGGTCTAGACACACCTCATGTAATAGGAATTGTAGAGGCAAACAAACCACGGCACAAATCGCCCTCATACGTTGAATATAAGCATTGGTCTCAGGGGTGAGGGAATAGATTGGTCAGCAAAATGAGTTCCGTGCCCAGAATCCATGGAAGAAGAAACAAAAACAAAACAACACCAGGCATGGTGGTATACCTCCCTGAAGCTCATTGCTCAGCCAGCCTCACCTACATGGTTGGCCCCAGTCTAGTGAGAAACCTTGTCTCAAAATTAAACAAGGTATAGAGCTGCTGGAGAACGACACCCACGGTTGATCTCTGGCTTCTGGATATATGTGCATTCATACACACATACAAATCATACATGCTTACACATGAAAAAAAAAGATTCCATACTTTTGAAACTATGAAAATTGAACTAAGTCATTTTGAACTAAGTAGAACTATGGAAGTTATCAAAGGCTTGGGAAGTAAGAGAGGAAAGATATAGTGAGACAGGAAAAGACTTCCCAGCAGTCTAATACACAACAGCAAGACTATGCATAAGAACCACAGCATTGTTATAAAGCTAGAAGAAACCACTTGGAGGGCTGGTGAGATGGCTCAGTAGGCAGGGGCCCTTGCAGCCAAGCCTGCTGACCTGATTTCAATCCCCAGGACAACATGGGAAGGAGAAAACTGACTCCCACAGGTTGTCCTGTGGTGGCCATGGGCCACTGTGGAATGCACAGCCATCACCACTACACATACACATTAAATAAATAATGTAAAATAATTTTTAATGTCCCCCTCATAAAGAATGAGAAGTAGTTAGGAAAATAAATGTATTTACCCTGATTTGAACGTTCTGCAAGATATTGTCAGGCAACCCATATAGAGCTTCATACATCACTTAAAAATAAATAAATATAAATAAGCAAACAAATAAAACTGAGTAAAGTTGGGTAAAGACATGTTAATGGCATCGTCAGAATGAGGACCTCCACGCTCTTCCACAACATCTTTCTTTTCTTTTTTCCCTCCTCTGAGTCCTTTCATGAAGTAGAGGGTCAAATCGTGGGCAATAAAACAACACTCAATTAATCAGCAAGGTATAGATAAACTCAGATATCTTGTGACATCACCAATGTCCCAGATGTATGTTGATATTTCCCAAAATATTTGGCTATGAGGAAATAATCAGACCCAAAGCAACATATAGACCATGTATACATGGATGCAAACACAGTAAGGCATGTTCCCTTTGGTCCCATGTCTAAGAAAGGAACTTCACATGTGATTTAGAGTCTAAATTTTGGACCCCAGACAGTTCATCTTTCAGGCTATGACATTCACTGCAGTTAAATATAGGGTCCCATCACATACCACCGCGTGTATAAATGGAATTATACTTTCACTTTAAAATGCTTCACCCCTTCTCTCTGGCATAGAAGTTCTCAGATTCTACATTAATCTGTACAACGCACTCCTAACACAGATTTGGTAGCATTTTTTTTCCACAAAAGTCAGAATAAAAAGGCAAAGACATCCAAGGAATTGAATTATTATAAAACGCTGCCCTTGGACTTTAAAGTTTTTTTTTTTTTTATAAAAACTGAAAGGAACCATTATAAGATCATATTTATTCACAGAGATGGGAGGTGAATTTCCAACTTATTTAAGAAGAAAGTCATACTGCCAAGACAAATCCAAAAGACTGGTTACTCTGAGGGTGGCAAATCCCATAAAGCGTCTGAATTCCCTTGTCGTATCCATGTCATTCGAAATAAATGAATAGACCAGCCCAGAGTTGGAAAGCTACAGTCCTGAGATGTGGTCCCACTAGAATTCTAAGCACAGGTCCCCAGAGCCAGAGGGAATTATGCAAGCCATCTTTTCCATCCCTCTCCTTCCAAACTTTAGAAACCCCAGAAACACAGGGGGTGGGAGGTGGGCAGAGGGGGTCATCCTTGCCTCCGTGAGTGTTGCTGTCTTCCTTTTATTCTTCCTAGCTCAAGAGGCTGCCTGAGAAGGAGCCCTAATTTCAACCTCTGAGGCATCTCATCTATTTCACCTCCAAGGTAGGAGTCCTACAGAGAGCTCTCAACCATTTCCCTCTCTTCCTAAAGCTTTCAGACTTCCCAAGCCCATTCCTTCCTCTCACACCACCGCAGATAACCCTCAGCCTTCTGCTATCCCAGTCCACCGTGGCAAGCCCACTCTCACCTCTGTTGATGGTGGCTGGCTTCCTCTGGTTGCATCCCAAGTCCTTTACCACTCATAGCCTTGTGGGTATTCAGAGAATATAAAGGCCTTAACACACTGCCTGGCAGGTGGTGCTTTAAAACAGCCAGTCTGATGACTAGTGTTACTCTGATCTTTATTATTTCTCCCCCGTAAGCCCACTTAACAACTCTCCCAATGATCCACAAATTTCTTCTTTGTCCACATATCTGTTTCTCTCTTTCTCATATTATTTGACCCCAAATTGGCTAATACATCTATGCTTATTTACACTTCTTTCTTTCTTTAACTTATGGAGCACTGTGCTGTCTCCAGAGAACTCAGACCGGAGTTAATCAGCACCTTTTGGTGGGCTTGAATGGGAAAAAATCTAAAATCCTTTGCCTGCTGCCACCTCTGGCCACCAGATCTGGAAACACATCACACATAACACAGCCTATCTCTAAGTCAAAGGCCCTCTTCTCCTACATTGGCACACCCTTGACTTGCTGGATTCTGTGAAGTATCACACGTGTGACCTCCCCAGAGAAGAGTTCCTTGACCACCAAAGACAAAACTCACTGACTCACAAAGACGACTCCCCCCACCCCCGCATCCTCCCTCCCAGTGTCTGCCGTTTGCTAGACACACCCTCAGCTCACCTGGATCAGTGTCTCCAGCTCCTGAGGGCTCACACAGATATGATCTCTCAAGAATTCTGCCTTCTCCAAGGCAATGGTGTTCTTCTGACTGCTTTCAAAGGGCTGTTCCAACGCCCGGAAGACAAGGCCTCCTGTGACGAGGTAGACCACCACAACCACAAAGATGGCAACCACTGTTTTCCACTTCATAACTGTTTGCAGGCCTCCCTGGGAGGCACCTTCCATCCTGGCTACCACCGTGGCTCGGGAGGAAATGGAGAGGCGGGGAACAGGGTGGTGCCCGTTAGTGGCGCTCTTGGGCTGGCACACAGGTGGGGCTGCTGCAGGCACGGCCACTGAGGAAGCGGGTGGAAGAGAGGAGAGAAGAGAAGAAAACCCATTTATAAAAACAAAACACTAGACTCATCAGAAACAAAGAACAGATGTCTTCCTTCAGCCACCTTTCCAAATGTGAGGACGAAAAGCTGGTTCACCAAGCCTGCAGATGGGGACTTTGATCACTTGTCAAGTACCTGGATTTTCTTGTTGTTGCTTTAATGAGTTCTTTAAAGTGAGCATCGGGAGTCCTAATTCTAAAAGAAAGAGTATTGGTTGAGTTTAAAACACATATTTTCCTACAAGGATCGAAACTGTAAAGCTATCTCTCTTTATTAATACTTCATCTCCTCCCTCAGTTCCAGTGTTCAAACATGTATGAACCATCATTTTTGAAAAATAAACATGCCATTCAGCCTAAAGAAAAATACACAGTTATTCTGTACAAGTACAGAAGCAGAGGAAGGATGGACATCAGTGACTTTATAAGCCCATCTTGGAAACTGGGGCGACGGTTCAAGAAAGCATGAGGACCTGAGTTCAGGTCCTCAGCACCCACATAAAAAGCCAAGGACAGCAGCCCACATCTATGACTAGGGGACAGAGACAAGCAGATGCCTGGGGTTCGGTGGTCAACCAGTCCAGTCGATTGCTGAGTTTCAGGTTCAATGAGAGACTCTATCTCCACAAAAATAAGGTGGAAAATAGTAGCAAAAACCTGACAATGACCTCTGACCTACACATACACACAAACACCAAGAGACGGGGGAGTGCAGAATTAAAAGCCTGTCTTCTCACAAAATGAAGAAAAAAAAAAAAGCTGGTCCCTTGCTAATGAAGAAAAGTCAAAGGTCAGACACAGTAGAAAGGTTTGGAACATCAGAAGAGAGGTAGCTATAACTGGGAAGGAAGCAGGAGTGTTGGTTTATGTCAATTAGCTCTCTTGCTTGAAAAAAAATAAGAAGAAGAATAAAATAGATCCCAAGTGCATTGTCTAATAGAAAATGCAATGACTTTGGTGTAACCACTCCTTAGCTATTAGCAAAGGAATTTTTTTTCTCCGATTGTCATCCAATAGGAAGCCACTGGAAATGAAATTTCCCCTGGTGCTCAGAACACAGAATTCGTTAAGGTCCCCAGTTTTCTATAAAGGCAATTTCATTACCTTAGAAATAAATACATTAGGCCTGCAGTTTTTCTGCCAGAGCAGGAAGTTGGAGGTAGTGTCATGCACTACAGAGATCTGTCTTGTGCAGCTATGAGCGGTCACGGCACTTAAATCTGTTCTTGCTTTTATTATCCTGATTCTCATTATGACCTCTGCTTGGGCAGCACCCTGACTGTTGTGTAAATAAGGTATTAGCACATACCTGTGGTGAATAATACTGCCCCAGTGGGGCTAAGCTGCTCTGTACTGGGTGTCTGGGTAAATCTATGATGTCACTCTTCCTTGAAAATGGGCCTGATGCTGACCACACTGCACTAGAGGGACAGCTGCTTAGAAAAACGCATGTCTATAAATATATGTTCTACTAGGTCCTTGAAATCAGCTTTTTCTTTGAAACCAGGCTAACCATCCACCTTTTACTGTTCAACAGTCATTAAATATTAAGTTCCCCTTGGAGTTAATGTGAATACAAAATTCTGCATAGTCTCTAAAAGTTAAAATCATCCAATCCGATTAGGTATTCTTTGATGCCCCTCCCCAAAGACAACGAACTGAGATTCTCAGTTACCCCTTGTAGACACTGAGGAGAGTCTTTTTTGTCCAGGAGAGCTTTTCTTCAAGACTGCCTGCACCCATGCACCCACGGCTATCAGCCTCATCCATGCCACCGTCACATCTTGTCTAAACTAGCCTAGCAGCCTCCTAAGTCAATTCCCTATTTCCGCCTCTACCCAGCTTTGGCCCATTAATCTCAGGTTAAATCTTATCTCTGGAAGTATCTCTTCCCGTCTACCCAAAGGTTGGCAGGAAAAAATATATATATATCCCCCAAAGATACCCACATCTTAGCTCCAGCACCTGTGCAAACATTACCTTACATAGCAAGATGTGATTTAAGATCCTGGGATGAGGAGATTGTCCTAGATTGTGGCTATCACAAGACTGCATGACAGTACTACAGGTAGATAATAAAGGCAAAAGCAGAGGCTGGAATCCTACAGCTGTAGGTCAGGCCTTGTGGCTCTCTCCAGGAGCTTCCCAAAGAAACCAGTTAATTATAAGTTGCTGTGTGGAGCCACTAGGTTTGTGAACATTCATTAGCGGTCCCAAGAAATAAATATACTTCTGCTACATTAGTCTCCCTGGCCCAGATCTCTCATTAGACCAAAAGGTCTCCAGAGGCAGGAACCATATCACACACACCCCGCCCCACTTCTGTGTCCATTGTGTCTGACACACAGTAGGCAGCCAGCCAATGATGACTGGATAAGGCAATATGGATGGAAGGAAGGAGGGAGAGCTGACACAGTGCAATCACACACACAAGGCAGACAAGCACTGTCAGACTAAAAACAATGACCAAGCTCCGGGACTAAAATGCAGGCCCCGTTCTTACCTCCCCGTAGTAGCCCAGAATCTACAAACTCACATCAACACGCTTCTTAGCCCAAAGCTGCCTCTTCTGTGGAACCTTTGTGGACTCTTCTATGCACATTCATCAGCCTGTCTCCACAAGCTGTCTCTTCTCTAGCCTGCTTGCTTTTGGAGTCAGAGAAGATTACCACTCTTTTTTTTCTTCTTTCCTATTATACAGGGTCTCACTAGACTTAACCTTGAAATTCTCCTATCTCTGACACCTAAATGCTGGTATTAGAGGTGTGTGCCATGACTCAGCAGAAAGTCCATCTTCAGTTCTTGGTATAGAACCAAAGGGAGGGCAAGTGTTTGTTTCCTATTGCTCTTGTCATTGTCATTAAATATTATTTCAAACTACACACAGTCACAACCTCAGAATTACCACCACAATAAACATTAACATTAATTACCTTGACAATAAACTCAACCCAGAAGGGACCTAAGTCGCCTCCTGCCTCCTTAGAAAGTTGACCATGATCTCTGCTTCCAGAGCTCAGCTGAATCCTAAGACATCAGGCCATACCTTGGATCTTTTAATTTGCCTTCTGTTTTTGATTCTTTTTCATTTGTGATAGATATCATCCAGATTCCAGGCCCTAAAATTTCAAACCTAGAACCCCTACACAGATGTAGCCCATGGCAGTTTAGTGTCCAAGTGGGTTCCATAGTAATGGGAAGAGGGACTGCCTCTGACATAATCTGATTGGCCTGCTCTTTGATCACCTCCGCCTGAGGGGGGAGCAGCCTTATCAGGTCACAGAAGATGACAATGCAGCCACTCCTGATGTGATCTGATAGAGTAAAAGCAGAAGGAAGAAGAGGGGGACCTCCCCTATCAGTGGACTTGGGGAGAGGCATGTGTGAGGAAGGGGGAGGAAGGGTGGAATTAGGAGGGGAGGAGGGAGGGGTTTATGGGGGGATACAAAGTGAATAAAGTGTAATTAATAAAATAAAATAAAACATAAAAAAAGAGAGGCTACCATGACAACTTTCCCCAAAAGACAACTGACCATCTGAATTGCCTGACCCTAACCTCCATACATTCTTTGTCTTCTTGGTGTCCCCCTAGGGAGGGACCCATCTAGTCCTTTCATGGATGTCCTTACAAAGCTCTGAAGCTGCCAAGAACAATCATTGTGCCATACTCCAAACAACTGGGTCCCAGCTCCTTGAGAAGGAAAGTATGTTATGATGAAAACAAATGTGTAAATTAAATATGTTAAAACGTTAAACTTAAGGTTAAATAAGTGATCCTGCAGCTGGATGTGGGATAGACAAGCTAATCAAATAAGAAAATAACAGGATTTTTAAAATTACAGTTTACGAGTTTTGATTTGCATATGGCCCCAAATGTATTAAATCAATCTACTTTATATATTACAAAATAAAGTTCAAAAAGACTTGTAACATTCCATAAACACTTTAAAGGATAAATATAATGTGCAGCATACAGGTAAACTGTCACGTGTATCAAGAGCATGTGGCTAGACAGGTCACAGGCCCTAAGGGCAAATCTCCACTATTATTCTACTGAATAAACTTCGTATTGTATTAAACCGGCTCCCAAAGACTAATTGCTCTACCGTAGATTAGTACCTTATTACTAGTTAGTACCTCTCAACCTTCATCAGAAAAGCTCCTTTTTGCAGTAGATGCCATTACATAGGGATCCACAACTTGTCAAGATGCAGAGAATAAGACAATACAGAATGTTCAACCCTCAATGGGACAACTATATCCCTTGTCCTCTTCCCAAGACTCAGATATAATTGTGGAAGAAGAGGTACACACCCAAGAGTGAACAGGCAGCACAAAGAGAACATGATAGACTTTAAAAAAATAAAAAAATAAAAGGGAGATGTAAGAGTTGTGTGGGTAGGGAAGAAGGGTAGATTGGGGGAGGAGAATGAATGTGATCAAAATTCATTAGATATGAAATTCTTAAACACTAATAAAAAGAAGAAATAAGAAGGAGAAGAAGAGAAGGAGAAGGGGGAAAGGAGGAGGAGGTGAGAACTATAATGACAACTCTGGGAGCTAGGCGGCCCTCCCTGTATCCTCCCTGTCCTGGGAAGAATGGCCTCTTAACTCTGTACCAAAGAGGAAAACAGCAAACATCTAATGGTGTTAACAATACTGTGTTGGTGAAGACAGCAAGAAGATGAACTCTGAGGCTGCTATTATTCATCCTGTAGGGCACCCATGCCTACAGTGGGAACAGGAAGCCAGAGCTCATCCACAGCGAGCAGAGGATCCTCTACCCAGAACTCTGTCCATTAGGACGCCTGCTAACTGCCGTAGCTTCTTCCTGGTTGTTTCTGCTGATTTCAGGTATCTTGGGGATCTCCATCTGCTGCTATTGTTCTTTTCACTCAGAAGCCTCACCAGAGTGTCTGCTCTGCTCTACACAGAATTGCTGTGACACCCCAGCCCAGT